GACCAGGACTGAGGTCTTCCTATTCCTTTGCTGGGACCTGGGCTTGGAATGCATCCAGCATCCTGCTGAGGCCTGGGGGAGCTGCAGGGGAGGGGGCAGCCGGCTGTATGTTTGCAGGTGCAAACATGGCTGTATTTCTCACATGGCCTTTTCCCTGGGGCTTTGTTTTATAGGGCAAGCCAGCCCAGTTTCCATTGTTCTCAACAATTGTGATTGCTGCCAGTGTGTGGGGAAATGTGAACTTGAAAGCTTGATTCAGAGACTGTGACCAGTTTTTATTCCGAGCAGCAGCCCCTAGAGCCCTGATTGCAAGGCAGCCCGGAGGCCTTTGAGGCCAGGGTCACAGTTTCCTCTGTTTGGGGGCAGCAGGAGCACAAATTGACCTTCCCTGGCTTTCTACAGCCTTGTCAATGTTGGAGTTTGTGTAGTTTGCTCGTTCTTTACAATCCCCCAGAGCGCCTTGGGTCAGTTTCAGAACAGGGAGCTCTTGACTTTCAAGTGTTTTTGAGGACCCTGGGCAGGAAATACCCATGCTGGCCCTCTTGCTGGTAGCACCAGATTCAAAGTTGGTCAGGAGGTATATCCCAGTGCTGAGCATGGTTACAGTCCTTTGGGCGATGATCTCCTTGCTTCAGGTCACAGGCAAGTTAGTGACACAACTGGACCGCACATTTCACATCTAGCCCAGGGGCTCAGTTCTGAGCCTTCCTTGCTTTCAATGGAGAACCAGTCACCCACACAGCAGAAAATCTGACACATTCTGTTCCTCAGACCTGTGGGATGTAGAAAGGCTCTTTTCGTATGGAACCCTTCCACGCCCCTTTCCTCTCCCAATCCACTTAACCAGAAAATAGAACGAACTCTAAAAAACATCAGGCATCACTCTTGGGTCCTAGTTTTTGAAGGTCAATGTCCTGGGACTTTCTCCCCAAGTTTCTCAATCATATAAAAACTGACTATTGATAATTTAATAAATATTTATTCCTAGAAGAACCTAGTGTATAATCCCTAGAGATTATATACTTCCTTCTTCTTACCCCAATTCATTTACCAAGTTCTAGTATGTTAAGTCCATTTACCTCTTAACTCCATCGACTTCTGTCTCTATCCACAGTTCCCAACCTGGTCAGGTTTCCAACTCCTGATCCTGAATGGTTGAAATAGCCTCCTATTTCCGTTCAATTTCACTCCTGCCTCCAACTTCAAATCCATTCTCTACAAAGCAGGTAGAGCTATATTTTCCAAAATATAAATTTGATTATGTCATTCCCAGCTTAAAGCCCATCAAGAGCTTTAGAAAATATACAATAATGAGGCATCTTTGTGATAGGGTTCCCACCAACTTTCCAATTCCACTTCCCTTGTCTTCTATGTGTTTTCTGTTACATTTCTAGAAAACACTGTGCTATTTCTCTTCCTTTCACTGGTCAATGTCTACATCATCCTTCAGAGCTCATCAGAAAACTCTTCCTCTGAGAACTTTTCCTGACCTCCCAATGGGTCAGGATTCCTGAAGGCTTGTAGCACTTATCAGCACTTACCACCGTCTATAATTATATGTTTTCATGTGATTCTTTAATTAGTGCCTGTCTCCTCCAGCTTGACTGTGAGTCCCCAGAGGGCAGAGACTCTGTTTAGTTACATCCTCCTCCTTTCCTGATGACAGTCACTGTACCAGACTCAGAGATACTCATTCTATTGCTAATGAATGAGCCTAATGAATGAAGAAAAGAGTAACTTCCTACATTAAAGAAGTTGACTGACTGGGTTGGAAATATTGAAATCTCCCTCTCTTGTACTTGCCAAGTGAATCCTAGAATTTGTGTGACAAAAAGCCATATATAGCTCAAACCCACTTTAGAGGCTTTGTGGGGCCACTAGGTCAGCAAGAACACCTGGCTTGTGCTCTGAAACAATTAGCCTGACTTGGGTTGCATTGGATTTTATTAAAACATGTGCCGATTGCTACGAAAGCTGTTTGCATGTAATCAATCTTCAGCTGCAGAGAGACGTCAAGTAAGGGAGGGCATGTCATGCTGGCTGTTATAAATTCTGCATAGCTGAGGACTCTTCCCCCACATCCCAAAGTCTGTAGTCCCTGCCTGCCCTTTCCCAATGCAGAAGTGCCCTTCTGGATTAGCCCATTGAGTGAATTATTTTCTTTTTGCTCACTCAGAATCGAATGGACCTATGTATTTGGGGCCCCAGAGTAAGTGACGAATGTGAGACACATTCCTAGTGTGTCCAAGACCATATTGAAGGAAGGTCCAGTTACGCAAGGTGAAGTGACCATAGGGGTCTATGGTCTGCATGTTTCTGTATTTCTGTATGCCTCATTCTCCTCATCTGCAAAATGGGATGAAAGTGATTCCTGCCTCGTCAGAAAATTGGAAGAATTAATAAGAATAGTCCATACAAAGCAGTGGGAACAGTGCTCAGCACATAGTAATTACTCAATCAGTGGTACCCTTGGTAAAATTTCACCAGGGACACTCAAGCTGACTGCTGACCCTCCCCCCCCCCCCCCCCACTACAAGGGGAATACAAGCTCTGATTCCCCTCCTAGGATGTATGGCAGGGGTGTGGCTCTCCTGTTTCATCACCCCACAGCTCAAACTCCTAGGGGTAACCTTCAGATGGGCAGGTACAGAGGCTGGGTGAGTGCTTTGGGCTCTTGGCTCCATGGTAGTGTCTATGGGTAAGTGCCTACAACACCAGTGTTACAGAGCTCTTTCCTTTGCCATCTGCAGACAGCGTTGAGTGTTAATCAGCTCAATGGACCCTCTGCCTTATTGCAAAGGAAGAGGATCAGGATGACAGCCTTCTGTATCCCAAGTTCTTATCCAGTGTGCTGGAAGAATCAGTCACACGTGGGCTTGAAGGATGAGTGCAAGGTTTTGAGTGGTGGGGATGGCTCTCAGTGAGACTGATGGGGAGCTGGAAGGTGGAGGGATGGGGAGATAATCTTCTCAGCTGAACTCCTCTCAACATTCAGGTGCCCCTTAGCTCCTCTGCCATGCCACCTGCTGCTCTCTGCTACTCTTCGTGGCTCCTCTTGATGTTCAGCCTCTTGTATGTGTGTCCACTAAGGTCTCAGGTTTATATGGCGGCAGGATGGGTGGGTGTGGCAGGCCAAAAGGCAAATTTTTGGGTGCAAAAACAGAAATGCCTGTCCTCTTTTAGGGACTTGGGTCTTCAGGCTTGAGGGTGGGGCCTTTTCTAGGGAACCACCCTCTTCTACCCAGTATTTTCCTGACTCCTGTCTTTATTGCTGGTTCTGGGGCCTCCTGTTAGTGGCTACCAGCTCCAGCTGATGACAAAATCACCTGGGAAGCTGTTTAAAAGTGCAAACTTTCTGGACTCATTGCATCAAAATTATCACAGAAATTCTGATCTGGACATGTGTATTAAAAAAGTGCAAAGTGAAGTAACTCGGAAATGAAAAATTGAATACCATATGATCTCACTTACACGTGGCAGCTAAGCTATGGGTAAAAAAAGGCATACCCATAATGAACATTGGAGATTCAGAAGGGGGAGGGTGGGACGGAGGTGAGGGATGAAAAACTACATATTGGGCTACTTGGGTGACAGGTGCACTAAAATCTCAGACTTCACCACTACACAATTCATCCATGCAACCAAAAACCACTTTAACCCCCAAATCTATTAAAATAAAAAAGTGAAAAATCCTCAGTTGATTTTGAACCACAGCACAATCAATGACCACAGCACGGGCTCTGAATGAGATCTGGGCAGGTGTCTTGCTCTCTTTGTACCTCAGCTTTCTCCTCTTTACTTAATGCTGTGTCTGGCCTTATCTCTACTTCATAGCAGGTCAAGAGAGAAACTCTTGGTAACGCCAGTGCTTAACTTAGAGCAGACTTGCATTTCCTAAATATATGTATTGCCATCTGCCAAAAAATGACAACTTTTATCTCTGCTTGTTCACTTTGTGTCTTTGTCTAGATGCAAATATATACTTGAAATATAATTCGTGTTGCTAAATATCCACTTATTTAGCTGCTTCTTTTATAAGCCATGCTTCTATGTTTCCATTTTAGCTAAACTATTTTAACTGTAGTTGTTGCATAAAATTTCAGTGACTATACGCACACACACACACACATACACACACACACACCTAATTTAAATTAACTGTATCTCTATTTTTGGATAGCTAGGTTGTTTGCAAGTTTTCTCACTATTATAATTCATCCCAGAATGTGTATTTTCAAATATATAATTTATCTATATTTAGGTATTTTACTCTGAGTACATTCCCAGTATTGTTATTACTGAATTAAATGTATGAACTCTTTTTTTGTTTGTTTTGGAAATCAGTTGCCAAGTTATTTTCTGAATAAGTGTCACCAATATATACTCTGCCAACTACTAATTAATGACAGTTTCATAGTCATCATGCCAGCATTTGAAATTAGCATTTTATTTTATATTTTTACTAACTTCATACTTACATATGGCATTTCACAGTTGCTTTATTTACATTTTAAAGCATACTTTATATATATATACACACACACACACACACACACACACACACACACAATCCTCGCATGCACTGTCAACTTCTCGTGTAGTGGTATAACTACCAACTTGATAATACATAGATTCATCAACTCTGTTCATCAGAGTGACTTTATAGGATTTATGTCAGGAATTGCTCAGGTAAAGAGAATACCACTGCTGTTCTCTCCTTAGCCAGCTGTTTTCTGTTACAGGAAGGCTAGGGCTGGCAAGATGCTGATACAACCAGGGAAATGGGGTAACAGACCTCTCTGCCACCTGGCCCAGGGCCTGGCTTAGGTTTCAGGACATTTACCTCCCATCTCTCTTTTCCCAGGCCCAGGTCCCAGCCTCTTTCTAATTCAACATCTGCACCAACCTTCACCTTGGTACAGGGAGCCTTCCACGCATTCATTTTCCTCATTAGCTGGCTAACAATTCATTAAATCAATAAGTATTTATTGGGCACATACCATGTGCAGGCAATGTGCTGGGCCAGGAGGTACAATAGAGAGGGGAAAAGGTAGATGATGAAACAGATATTGCCTCCCTTGATCTCATAACCCATCAGAAGAGAAAGACACTGATTAAGTTGCCACACATAACTGAGTGTCAGTCACTCTGCCTCAGCCCTCTAGGGGCCTTTACCATGCCTCCTTTCTGCTGCTGGGTGTTTGTGCATACTGTCCCCTCTTCCTGGAGTCCTCTGTGGCTGGCTCTGTCCCCTGAGCCTGGAGTACTTCCGTAACTAGCTCTGCCCCCTGTCCCTGGAATCCTCCTGTGGCTGGCTCTGCCCCATGCACCTGGGCCTGGAGTCCTCTGTGGCTGGCTCTGTCCCCTGAGCCTGGAGTCCTTCCATAACTAGCTCTGCCCTCTGCGCCTGTAATCTTCCTGTGGCTGGCTCTGCCCCCTGTCCCTGGAGTCCTCCCATGGCTGGCCCTGCCCTCAGTGCCTGGAATCCTCCTGTGGCTGGCTCTGCCCCCTGCGCCTGAAGTCTTCCTGTGGCTGGTCTGCCCCTGTCCCTGGAGTCCTTCCTTGGCTGGCTCTCTCACTCCTTCCAACTGTGCTCAAACATCAATTTTTTTGGGGGGAAACATATCTGAGAATGATGCACACAATATCACTGGGCTCTTCTTCCCACCAGTGCTACCTTTCCCATTTTCCTCCATAGCACTTATCACCATCCAATATATTAACTAATGCTTGTGTTTGCTTATAGGCTCTTCCCTTCACTAAATTAAGATCCTTGAGGGCAGGAGCTCTGTGTGTTTTTTTCATTGCTATGAACAGTGCCTGGCATAGAGGAACCTCCTAATATCTGTTAAATAAAACAGTGTGTGAATGAATAGGTTTTATTCTGATTTCCACTTAGGTAGGTGGCCCCTGGAGAATTTGTATGGACATTTGTTGACTGCAGTGGGTGCAGTGGGTAGAGGAGTGTTGGACAGGGACCAGGGGTGGGAGGATCAGTCTTTTCTAGGGCCCTGGGCACACTCCTAGTCCTTGCAACTGGACTGGCAAGAGCATCTCAGAACTAAGGCTTTGGGTCCTCCTGGAAGGAAACCCTGGGCTCCTCTGGCAGTGGTGCTGCCCCTTCACCTGACAGACAGGGATTGCCATTGATTTCTGGAGATGCTGAAAGATGCCTCCTGGAGCCAGAAGTAGAGTCAGCCAGGAAGGCTGTGATTTCCTGTCTGTACAATTAACGTTACTAGGGAGGTGTAATCTCTCTAATTGGTTTATTTCACCAAGATTTGATTGAAGGCTTCTCTTATCTGCCATTGTGGCCTCCCTCTACCTAAGGCTCATGAATAATAGGAAGCAAAATGTATGTCTGACTCGGCCTCCTCCTAAAGAGACCAGCCCATAAATAAAACATCTGGGCCTTCTGAGGAGGGGATGGCACGAGGGGCTGTGAGCAGGAACCCACTGATTGATGGAGACAGGAGAGTGTTTTCTTAAGTGAGGCAGGGAGTGATTTCTCCTCTGAACCTGGGCCCCAGAGCTGGGTTTCTCTGCAAGAGCAGCCGGCCTGGAAATAGTGCTGGCAGTGGAGGAAGGAGGGTGGCAGGGGGATGGCTGAAGCCCCAGCGCACTGGCTTGGCCTCTTGTTTTTTCTTTTTCCTAACCAGAATTCTCTGAGAAGGAGGAGGAATAATTTATGCCTTCACAGGTCTTTTCCTGACAGGTTCTAACAGGTCTTCATGTTGTCGTGCAATTAACAAATCAATGATTTTTCAGCAACCCAGAGAGAATGAGTCCAGCTCAGTTCCGTCCCTGACTTGACCAGGCTCTAGCTCCTTGTCTGTATAATGGAGATTGAACATAATATCAGAGAGCACCTGCTCTCTCCAGTGGCAGATACTGCTGACCGATCGTAGCTGCAGGCCCAAAAGGGAACCTTTCCATGGCAGTGCCCAGAGAACCATTTTTAGTAGATGAAGATTGGTACAGAAGAATTGGAACCCCTTCTTCATCCCTGGAACCCACGGTCATTTACAGCCTTAAGCTCTTTTCTGATTATGGCTGGAAAAAGACAAAACAAAAACACACATCCAAATAAACTCTCTCCCTCTTAGAGATAAGAGATTATTTTGAGACCTCAGACTGATTCCAATGCAGCCACCACAGCTGAGAATTTTGAGGGAAGTATTTGTCAGAATGGTATTCCCTTCATGATATGCAGAGGTGGTTTGGCTTTTAGAAGATGCCTAATGACAGCACAGGACAGAATTCTAAAGGCACCAGCAAGCATCAAGCCTATCAGAAATAGTAGGAGCCAGGCATGATGGTGGGTGCCTGCAGTTCCAACTACTCAGGAGACTGAGGTGGGAGGATTGTTTGAGGCTAAGAGTTCAAGACTATAGTGCACTCTGATTGCATCTGAAAATAGCCACTGCCCTCCAGCCTGGGCAACACAGCGAGACTCCGTCTCTTAAGAAAAAATCAATCAAACAAACAAAAAACAACCAGTGTTGAGGTTACACATTCCCACTAACAGCAAAGCAGATGAATATTACCATTTATTTGGCTGTGTGCTGTTTACGCAATGAAATACTACACAACGAGAATGCACAGTCTACAGCCACACCCATAAATGAGAAGGGATCTGATGACGGGAATAGTGTGAAAAGAAAGAAAACAGAGAAGAGAGTCTGGTGTGCAGTTCCATTTACATGACACACAGCAATAGGCAGATCCAGTCCCCGGCGTTGACATCAGCATGATGTTTGCCCTGGGTGGGACAGTGACCGGAAGGGTATGTGAGGAAGGCTTTTGGGAGGTGAGAATGTTTATGGTTGTTGGCTGTGTTAGTTTGGGGAATATATTCAGTTTGGGAAGAGTCGTCAAGTTGTGCACTTGTGATAAGACTGTTTCCATAAAGGTTTTACAGGATTTGGGGGCTGGAGAGGTATATCTGTCAGTGAGAATTCCCACCATCCCGGGTCCCTGTCCCTGCTCTCCTTGGCTTGCGCCCTTGCCCTCTTGGCTTGTCACATCTCCCTGTGGCCTGCCCTTGGGCATTCCTCATGGTGAGAAGTAGTGTGGCAGAGTGAGAACAGACTTGGAAGAGGTGCTGCCACACCCGGATTTGATCTCAGGTTTTACCATATGTGAAGCTTGAAGCAGGCCTTATGCCATCTGTTGAGCTCCAGTTTCCTAGCCTGGTCCCGAAAAGCGGGCTTAGTCTATCTTCCCGATATGCGCTTAGGTGCCTTTCCTCTCACTTCAGTCCTCTAGGTAGCTTTATTGTACCATAGAATAGAGACATAAGGATTGTGAGCTTGTGGCATCGGGCAGCCCAGTGTAGAACAAAGCCTTGAGCAGTGATTCCAGATTTCTCTATCTCTAAGGGAGGCTGAATATATAAAGTCATATAAAGTTAACCAAGAATATGGTTAACATGTGACAAGGATAGACATGAAGCTGGTGCTCTCAAAACTTCAGGGGAAATGTGTGCTCTTGAAAAACTCATTGGTACCTTCCATATTATACATCTGTTTAAAGTGTGCTCGATAGAAAATTAAAAAAAAAAAAAAAGCTGTAAGTCAGGGGAGGGGAAAAAAGCTTGGTCCCTGAAACCCAATGGGTTAATTCTCTCCTGTGGCAGAGGAAATGCCAAGCCGCCGTTGGCAGTCTTCTTCCTTCTTTATATAACAACACTTTCAAGAGCTAGAGCTGGGATCGTCCAGTAATGCTTTTAATTTGTGTGCGGTTGGGAAGAGGCCAGGATTTAATCGAAATTGTTAGAATGGCTTTGCTTGGAGTAGCTGAGTGCTTGCAGTAGGGCTAGGAGGCAAGGTGGCACTGGAATAATTAAAAGAAATACCTAGGGCCATCATCATTGCCTGAGTTTTTCCAGATACCAGGCTGCAGAGTAAAAAGAGTGAAATAGAATTTGTGCACAGTTACTTTTCTATTATACCTCAATTTTCTCTCTTCCCATTCACTTAATAAAAGGAGCTAGGGCTCCATGTTTGCTTAACGGGGTGGGAGCTGAGTCCTGGGAACTGGCTGATCCTCATCCAGCCCAGGTGCTCCAGGTTCCTATGTTTATCCTACTCTGTACTGTGGGTGGTCTGAACTGGCTCACCCTCCTGAATTACACACAGTACACAGCTGTGCTGAGAACATTTTTCTTGTGGAACCTTCCCTAGGTATTGGGACAGCAAGAGTTCCAAATCTTACCCTCCTGAGTGTCATCCTTAAACAACATGTGAAAAAAAAGTCACAGGAATTGGGGTTTCCATACCTGTCCTCATTTCTCTCCTCTTTCTAAGGAGAGCCATGTGCCCCCAAGTCCCCAAACAACATATGGCCAAGATTAGGAATCATGTCCCCAGAAGACTGAATAATTCAAATAAAAACTGAGCACATCTGTGAAGCACAGACATTTACCTGACTTATTTATATGTCATAAACTCTTACATGTGTCATAGGGGACCAAGCAAATGCCAGGCCAGTTAGTCAGTCAATCAACAAGGATTCACTTACCTCTACAAACCATTCATTTTTTCTTTTCTTATTGCAAGGCCCTGTGCTAAGTTCTAAGGTAAGGATGAGAGAGATAGGTAAGCCTTCTGTTCTGAAGCCCTGCTAAAAAGTTAGGTATCACATGTGGGAAGGTTGGAGGTGGGTGTTTATCCAATGCGGTTAGGCCCATAGGGCACTGCTTTCTCCCTGTGGCAATGTGTTTAAGCACCTCTGGCATCAAGGCTGAAGGCCTTAGCAGTTACCCACAGTAAAACCACCTCTGCAAAATTATAACACTGAGAAAATTATGACCATGAAAGAGAGCTAATGTCCCAGAGTTTAGGGACCTTACTGGTACTCAGTAGCCCAGGTGATCATATCCTTCTGAAAGCAAAGTCTATTTTATTTATCACCACTAAATAACTTATTCATGCAACCAAGTGGGGCAATAGATAACAGATATTTTGAAAATTGTGACCGGGAAAGGAGTTAATGTCCCAGAGTTTAGGGATCTTACTGGAACTCAGTAGCCCAGGTGATCATATCTCTTCTTTGGGATGGTGTGGAGATAGGCGAAAGTTTGGGATACATTTTAGCGTAAGGAGGCACATGTGAGATAGAGCAAAACCATAATGGAGGAGTTTTTGCCTTTGTAACCTTAAGTTCTAGAGTTGGGAAAATATCAGTTATCTATTGCTCCGTAACCAGCCACTCCATGAAATAGTGGCTTACAATTTATTATATCTCTCCTTCAGCTATAGTTAGTTGATGAGTTTGCTAGGAGAGTTTGGAAGCATGGGTCTCTCTCCATATTGATTTTCCTCCCAGCTTCTTCATTTCATGAGGGCCCCAAGAGAATGAGTGAAAGGTACAGGAT